GCTGCTTACCTGGCTTTAAACTCTGATGGCAAGACTCCACCTCCCTCTACTCATATCTGCCCAATCTCACTCTGAATTAATTTATCTTCATAAAACCAGCATTTTTTTTCCCTCAGATAACTGAATTCCTCGTCATTTCTCTTGTGCCTTTCCACTTTGATCTGCTTTCTCCTACCCAAGTCATCCATAATTCCACTGTAGCTGCATAGCTTGACTAGCCTCTGGTTTCCCAGAAAAGCTCAGCATGTAGGACTCCTCCCTCCGCTTCTCCTCCCACCCCCCCACCCCCGCCCCCTGAACTGCATTTCTTTGCTTATTACTCAGTGTCCACACCCAGGGTGGTTGCTTGGATAAAAATCTACCCCTTTAACCCAGTCACCTTTTTCAGGCTGGACATAAAGTGAGGAATGGCTATTTACGCAGGCCCAGAAGCTCTTAACCTAAAGTTATGAAGCATAAATCTAAGGAGTGGCCTGAGGTCTTAGGAATATCTTTTTAAGGTCTTCTGAGTACGTAGGCCCTAAGCCTGATTCTCTTTCCTTACCTTCTCATCTGCTAAGCTTGTTCATTGGGCACCACTAAGCAAAGTTAATGATTACTCCTGTCTTCATCCAAGAGGGGATAAGTTATTTTACTTTCACTCATTTCTGTGAAGTTTTCAAGGATGCTTGTCCTACCTCCCTAGGCTGGACTATCCCACAAAGTCAAGGAAAAGCAGGCCACTTCTTACCCAGCTGACTAAGCAACTTTGTGACCATTCATAAGACACTGTCTTGGGCCGGGTGATCTCGACTCTTGTAGCTGTGACATCATGTGAGGCAGTGGAAAGGGAAAGGATGTGAAGGGAAGGTGGAACTTGATTGTACCGGTTTTGTAGGTTCAGGAAAAGCCCTTTAATTACTCACTGGGTATAGAGGAAGGTAGGTGAAGACTTAGCCTTCTCTCTTCACTCTTCACTTAGGATCAAATGAGTACCTATAGGATATACCTTTATCAAAGTAATTAAAAATCCTGCTCATTCATTCATACTAGGCTTGTCAGAAATCAGGTTCAGTTGGTTAATCCAACCTTAAATTCACTTATTTCTTCTTAACCTGAGAAAAATATGATTATCTGACACCCTAACCCAAAATGAGTCAGCACCCTTAATGGTCTTTGTAATCAGTAGTACAACCTCATGTGCTACATCCATTATGGTGGTAGAGAGAGCAGAGCTACCTCTTGTGAGTATTACTGTGAAACTGAGTCATCTTTTACCCTCACCAAGGACCTTGTGACCTTGACTTCAAGGATACCTAGCCAAGTTCCTGGCACACAATAAATATTTGTTAAGTGAGTGTCATTTGGTGTGTCCCTGAGTATACTAATCTACCCTTCCTCTTCATCTCATAGCCAGTTTTCTCGTTTTGGTCTTGTTTCAATCATGAAGTAAGAGCTACCTAAAACCACTTAAACTTTTGAGAAGTGAAGCCTGAAGGGCTAGGACATCTGGGAACTAGTGTGGATGTCTGCACATTTGGCTCGGTAGCCGCTTTCCCCCATCTCATGGCCTGTACTTTGCTGGGACCAGACAGCTGAATTTTCATAGCTCTTACTTAGAGTTGTGGCCTCTCCATGCTCAACTACAGGTGCTGGGACATTAAATATGCAAAGATCAGGACCCTATGTACTATATGATGGTAATGCTCCATTGGAGTGAATGATGGAAGATGAAAGATCTTCTTGTTAAAGGAATGTCTCTAGTTAGCATAACAAGAAAATTTAAGGGACTTAAAACTTAATGTTGAGGTACACGAGACTTGATGAGGAAAACTGGAAATAGGAACCCACTCGGGAGAGCTCACAAGGATGGAAGGCCTAGGTTTCCTTCTGCCCCACAGGTACTAAGCACTGGAAGATATAAAGGAACTTTATAACTTTGATCATTACCAAGACATGCTAATCTTTCTCCTGAAACATCAAAAAGACTTCTTTTCCCTCTCCTTTGAATAAATACAATTGCCGGCTTCTCCATTTCCATCCCCTTGGAATAAGAAGCTGGGCTAAAATAAAAAGGTAAACAGTCCTATTCTCTCCTTTCTCATTTTGTTCCCCTTATAGATATCTTCTTTCCCCACTGTCCATTCCCCAACGGGAATTTTGATTGATGAAGAATTCTGTTTTGGCCACTTTCAAGCCCCAGCAGGCAATGACAGGCCCAGAAAGCCTCCTTTCTAAGCCCTTGCTTTTGACTAACATCCCCTGGCTGCTGTCCCCACATGACCCAAATAAACAGATGATCATGTGAAGCCAGTAAGACTGTTTGTTTTAAATAGCAAGCATCTTCACTAAGCTCTGTAGCAGATGGGGTATTGCGGGCAAGAGAGAGGCTGGCATTTGAATCTGTTCACCCCACTTTTATCTCCCACTCCCCACCCTTAAAAGAAATGGTGTCTTCAAAATGCTCCTTTTCAAGTGGGGTGTGTTCTTAATGTCATAGAGCTGTTACCTGACAAGAGTCAGAAAAATTGGACTTCAGCCTCTAGAAAAGGCTTCCGGTTATGGCCATACTAGTGCCATAACCACTTAGGGAAGGCTAAATGGAGCATTCAGCATCCTGGACCACTAAGCAGAATGCTTCCTTGCTAAACCCAAACAAAACAACAACTTGAACAAGAACATTAGTTCAGAAACAATATATATTGTTTAGCTCACCACCCCACCCCTATGTACTGCATTTAAAGTTTCTATTCCCTCTGCTTGAGCAGTGAAACAGACTCAAGTACCCCATAGGAGGCAGACACCTTAAAGGAAGCAACATCAGGACCTGCACAAATCTAGCCCTCCCAGGAAAAGGGTGTTTATCCTGTGGAGAAGAACTGACCTATTGTACTCTAAACCCGCCTCCCCCTTTGCTTTCCAGCTTCATAAGCAAGGCCAGTGGCAGCCTGATTTAGGTGTGTAGTGGCCTTTCCATGCTCAGCTACAGAAGCTGGGCCAAGTGCCCTGTGTGACATCCCCGCACCTTCCTCATGTTTACCAGGTTTGTGATTTCTAGGATCTGTGCAGATTTTCTTTTCCTAAAATGTACGCGGCCCTCACAGTAAAAGAGCAAAGTCAGCAAGCTTGCATTTATGCCACTGTATACATCTAGTCCTTTAACTAATCTCCCTCGTAAAAAAATAACCCTCTGAAGTTGCAATGGGCATGGGACTGGATGGGATGGATTGACAGGATGCCTTGTCACTCAGCTATCCTCAAAAAGATTTGCTTTCTGGGTTTTTTATACGGTAGAGTCCAGGCTGCAGCATCCTTGAATGCAACTGTTATTGTCCCACTCGGTTTCTACTTGATAGCAAGTACCAGTGGGGTTTGCGCAGCGTCCACCAAAAAGCGGGCCAGCAGGATTTCAGATTAAAACTTTGGTCACCCTGTCAGTATGCTGTGGCCAGACTACTCCTGTGCTTGCAGTTTGGTATTTTGCCAGGACATCATCTACTCCTAATTGGGCAACCTACCCCTGCACTCGAATCGTCTGCGGGGTAAGGGATAAGTGCTCTTCCCCCACGGAATACTGTGTCCTTTGTCGACTGTGAGCCTCAGTTTCCTTAACTGCCAAGTGAGGGGATTCGGGTGAGTGACCTGCAAGGTCTAACTTAATGATTGTATCCCCAAGCTCCCCTAAAAGCTAGCGCGAGGAGCGGTAGGAGGGAGAGCCAGTTGGGGCTCCCCGCCCGCAAGGTGAGCGCGGGTGAGGTCCCGCACAGCGGCCCGCCCCGGGCCCCGCCCACGCCCTCGGTCGCCCAGACGCTGGAAGGGCCGGGCTTCCGCTCTCCACGTTGTTGTTCCCGATTGGGGCCACGCCCCCTCCGTCTAGGCGTCGGACGCTTAGCCGGAGCTGCAGAGGCCCACGAGCCAAGCTTGGCCTCTTGGGTGGCACAGTTGGAGTCTCCGCCCACCTTAGAAAAGCGTGGACAAAGACTAGAGTTCAGGAGAAGGAAAGAGAGAGGCTTGTTTTTAAAGGGAGGGTGGTGTAAAGGACTGGCCAGGGCATAATTGCAGAATTCCCGCTCGGCGTGCCACCTATCGTTAACACGGTGGCCCATCTAGAACCGCGAATATGACCCGGGTAAACACTGGCCCTTTAAACGGAAGGCTGGCGGCGCGGGGTGTCCATGTGGAGCTGCTCCATGCCGTGTTGTCCTGCCCGCCCATTGGCTTTCGGCCCGATGACGTCGCCTAATAGGATGCGAACGCACTGCGGGGGGAGGAACGGAGACAAAACGTGGATCCGGATCCCCACTCCGCTCCTTCTGCTAGTTCTCAGGCAACCTCCCGCTATCAGCTCCGCCTAAGGGGCGGATCCCGGGGGATTTGCGACAGCCGGGTGGTTGCAGGAATTAGGTCACGTGTAGGTCGGGAGGGAGACGAGGGGTTCAGGTTAGTCCTGCCGTCCTGAGGTTCCCCTGACCTGGAATAGCCTTATCCGAGCCCATTTGAGTCCTGAGTCGCCTACTCTCCCTTCCCTCCCGCAGGACGAATTTCGCTGTGAATGACCCAAACCCGTATCCTTGCTCAACTGGCGGCTTTGCAGCCGGGCGGGGCGAGGCGGGAAAGCGGAAATGCAGGCCGCGAACCCCGCCGCTCTCTCCCCACCCCCACCCAGGCCACGTGTCCGCGCGCCTTCCAGAGTGGGCGGGGCCAGCGCGCTCGGGACCCCGCCCCTCCCTTCGTGAGGCGCCGCGGCCCTGCGGGCGGGGGCTCCGGTCCGGGCTTTGGCTGCGGCCCCCGTGTAGTAGCGGGGGCGGCGGCCGGGGGCAGCGCGGCTCCTTCCCTTGTTGTGTGTGTCGGTGCCTCCTCGCCATCTTGTTGCAAAGCCTTTTCTTGTCGGCGGGACTCCCGGGGGCTGCGGGGCGGGAGGCATCAGAAGGAAGGAAGAGAGGGAGGGGAAGGAGGGAGTCAGTGCCGCCTTTTTTTTTTTTTGCATCAATTTATTTTTAATTTGCAAATTACATTTTGCAAATATTTGGGGAGACATTGATTTTTCTTCCGTGCTCCCCCGTTCTTCCCTGCGGAGTGCGCTGCGCCGCCCAGCCCTGTCGCCCCCCGGAGGTGATCCCTCCCTCCTGCCTGCTCGCCAGCCTGACCTGTGCCCGGCTCGCGGGCCGCAGTCTCGGCCCCGGCGCGCCCCCGGCAGCTCTCGGCGCGATGAGCATAGAGACGCTACTGGAGGCAGCCCGCTTCCTGGAATGGCAAGCGCAGCAACAACAGAGAGCACGTGGTGAGCGACCGGGCTGGGCCCCTGGGGCACCGGGAAGGGAGGCGAGCGACCCCGGCCCCCGACCCCGCGCGAAGCCGCAGCGGGCAGAGCCGTCTCCCGGCCCGCCCGCCAAGGCGAGCAGCCCCAGGCTCCGCGCAGGAGCCGCTGCCCGGGAAGGAGTATTGTGGGCAGTGCGATTATTTCATGAATTCATTAACGTGTAGCTGGGGGCCCGGCTCCGGTAGCGCCTCCCCAGCTGCCTGCCACCCCTTGTGCACCCTTCGTGCGTGGCTCCCGGCGCGTGGGCCAGAGACGCCCGGGGTAGCGCGGAGAATGTGTGAGTCGGGGGGATGGGGTGAGGAACGGTGTTGCGTCGGGGTGGCAGACCCGCGTGTGCGTGCGTGTGTGCACGGGGGGATGTGATGGGAGCCTTGCGGAGAGCCCCTGGACGGACGTGTACACGGGCGAGTGTGTAGTGCACACAAGTGGGCGTGTGTGTAACCGAGTGGGGGTAGGCATTACTCCACTCGGAGCAGCTCCCCGCTTTCCCTGGCCCTGTGGGGAAGATGCGGGGGGCGCTCCCGGCAGATCTACTCGCCGCTTGGGGCGGAGGCGGCCTTTGCAGAATGAAATGACATCGCGCGTCTTATGATCCTGGCCAGCCCCACCTGACCCCGCCTCCCAGAGCCGGGCTGGGCCGGCGGTCTGGGCTTTGGTTGAGAGCGGGGCTGATTGGGCGTCTGGGCAACGACCCGCGGGCCGCCGGGGGCAGCCCCCCAGCCCCCCAGGCTGCGCCCCACTTTAGCGGGTGTGGAATGTGGCGTGTCTGCGCGTCCCAAACCCGCTCTCGGCTGGAATGTTGCGTGTGCCTGCTTTCCAAGCCCGTTGGTTACACCGGGTGGTGACGTGGACGGGCCCCGCCCCCGACCACGTGCACGGGGGACACTCCCGCTGGGGACGGCGCGCCCGGCCCCTCCTAGCAGCCTCGCGCTCGGCCAGGGGCGGGGCCGGGGCGGGGCTGGCGCCGGGCCTTGCGCCGGGTTGGGCCCTGACTCTGGCCGCTGGGCATCTTCCAGGCTGATCCTTTGCCCTGCGTAGGAGGATCGGCGCTCACCTGCCCCAGTCTCGGGTGCTTCATCTCGGGGCGAGGGAAATCCTCAGAATCCCCGAGCGGCAACACACTTCGAGTTCACATATTCCCACTGACCCCGAAAACGATCCCGCCGGGACCTCCTGGCAACACCCCTGGCTACTTTGTAAATGAGCCAGCCTGGAAAGGGACAAACTTTGTCGCGCTCTCGACTCGGGGAGAGGAGGATTTCAGATGCCTCCCATCCCCACACGCCCTGCTGGGTCCCCACCTTCCGCGTGCTGCCAAAATAGGGGCTGGGGGGAAGACCTCCGTTCTCCCGACTGCTGCTAGGGCCTCAGTCCCGGATCGGTGTGCAGTATCTGGGCATCCCTGTCCCCTCCAGCCTCCCGCTGTTCACCTCTTCCGCCGGGTTGGCTTTAGTGTTTCGCCCTCCTTTCCTTTTTCTCTGCCTATTGTTGCTTCATGATGAGTCATGCAAGAGGTAGTAGTGTGTGTTGTGTGCGCGCGCGCGCTTGCGCCTGCAGCGTGTGCTGCCGCTGCAGCGGGCAGAGGGGGAGGGGGACAGCAACCGGCCAGGGGCTGAGGGACCGCGGGTCTGCTGGCCTGTCAAGGTCAAGAGTCATTCAAGATATGTGATATCTAGGTGTGTGGGTTTTGCGGAACGGATGGGCTGAGACATCAGCCCGTGAGCCCCTTCCCCTTGAGGCCCAGGGCAGTCAGACAGTGGGCCGAGATAGACCAAGATGGCCCCAGTGGAGGCCCCAAAGGGGAGGGGAAGGACATGCACAACATTTGCAGAGCCTGAATCACCTGCTGCCACCATGGGCACAATGCTGTGAAAGAACACCTATTGTGTCCCCACTGTGGACCTGGCACTATGCTAGGAATAAACAGGTGACCCAGCTGATACCCAAGGGAATACTCACTTCACCTTCACTTTAACTGCAGGCTGGTTGGCCACATGGGGACCTGGAGAAGACCCCCACTGGCATCTCCCCACGCCCCTTTCCAAAATAAGTCCAGAGCTGTGGCCAGTAACAAGGACAGGGGTGATGATGTGCAACGTTGTGAAGGAGCCTGAAATGATTCTCTCCTAAGAAGTTGCAGAGCCCTGTCCCCTCCTCCAGGTGGTGAGAGCCCCCCCCGGGAGGCAGGGAGCAGAGTTGAAGGCTGGTTAAGCTGCCTGGTCAGAGCTTCTTGGTGGGGCAGAGGGGGGCTTAGGGGATGGATAGATGGCAAAAGACAAATCTGAAACTCATGTACAGATGGCTAGACCTTGCCGTGGCAATTTAATCTCCACTACTTTACCTTTTTTCTTCTTTCTGAGGTTCTGTCCTCTGACTTGCAGTGGGAAGACTGGGAGAGAATGGGTGGTACTGGAACCTGCTGACCAGAGCCACTTTCCCTGGTCTGTACATGATGAGGAGCTCTGAAGGGGAATCCTCTTGTCTGTGTCCCCACTCAGCCTCAGGGGTTGCTTTCTTGCCCTAGACAAGCCAGTTGCTCACATGATGAAATTGAGGCTACATGTGCATGTGTGTGAGAGGGAAGAGAGGAAATAGCCAGGGCTGGTCACTACCGGTCAGTATGCATGAAGGTGACCTTAACGGGCCTCTTTTCTATCTTGATTGGAGGGAGTTGCCTGGAGTGTCCACAGTCTCCTGATCTGGGTGCACTCTAACCCTGCCTTATCCCCCAAGCTCCCTGTTATCCAGAAGGGGAGCATTCTCAAGAACATTTAGGGCCCTTGGGGTGAATTCCTCAGGCCCCAGCCCTGAGCTGTGTCCCTGAGCCACAGCAGCTGGGAATAGCTGCAGGGGTGCAGCGTCCATACACTCCACTCTGACCCATGGGTCACTCGAGGGTTCATGCAGAATTCTTTGTGGGCTCCCTCTGGGTAGAGCCCAGAGAAGGGCCAGAATATACACATGCATGTGTGGGAGTGGAAGGGAATTGAGGAGGTAGCAGAGGTTGCTCCTCTGGGTCACCAATGCCAGTTTGCTCCTCTCGCTTTGTTGCCCCCTCTCCAGAATACAGGGAATAGGTCAACTGGTAGGGAGGAGGAAGAATGTTTGGTGGGCTGAGCTGGCCTGGGGCACCCCCTCTCCTTCACTGGTGGTGAAGCCTTTTCATGCTGATCCAGGTGTGACAGAGCTTGGCCATTCACCTGTGTCCTTTCTGGCACCTGTGAGGAATACCTGCCTGAAGGGAAGAGAGGATAGGTGAAGGGAGGTTGCCATCTTCTGAATGAGCTTTGAATTTCTTTAAAATATGGGGAGTGCCTGTGCTTGAGACCTGGGGCTTTGTGTCTGCCTGGCTCATGGGAAAGTCGAACCCTTGCCCAAAGGCCAATGAAAGTTTGGTCCTGGCTCAGTCAGGAATAGAGGTGGTAGTGGTAATGTTGGGTCCTGAGTTCCAGGGCCTTGTTTTGGAAGAATGGGGTGGGAGCCGGGATGAGTAGTACACTGGGACTGTCCCAGGCTGGGCTGAGAAGGGCCCCATAGCTGGACCATTATTGGCTGTGAAGAGCTGGCGCTCAAGAGCTGGTTTTCTCTGGGATTGAACATAAGCCAGTGCTAACTGGAAATGTCTGGGAGATCAAGACTTCCCCTCACCCGAGCAGGTCTGCACCAGCCTGGCATCAACCCTTCCTGCAAGGCAGGGGAGATAGGGAAGAGGCCCAGACCAAGCCAAAGCTGACCCATCCAGCCCTTAAACTCTGGCTGCTGGGAAACCACGGAGTGCTTCCCCTCTCAGGACACACCCCCTCTACTTCCTCCTTTGCCTCTTCTCCTCTGTGGGAGGGAGGGCCTCAGCAGGCCTGGCTCACTTTCAACTTGTGGATTGGGCAAAGGGCCCTGAGGCCTCAGGTTTTCTAGAGCCCCTGAGCCCAGACACTAGGGAGGGGAGCTGATGCCCATCTCCCTATGAGGCAACAGTTAGCTCACCTTGTCCCCTAGCCCCACCCCTTGTGGGATGGTGTGTTTGATTTGTATCCACCCAGCCAGTGCTGTCAATGCTGTTAGTCAGCAGTGTGCTGAATCCGGGACAGGAGGGAAGTCTGGTTGACTAGCCTGCTCCCTGGCCTGGGCACCACAGCCACTCCCCAGGGCCCTAGCCCAGCCCACTAACCAGAGAACCACAATGGTGGGACCTGGGAGAGGAAGGAGCAGGGTGGAGATGGGAGAGACTTCTGGAGCAGGAGGGGTTCTCCCCATTACCCCAGTTCTCAGCTGGCTCCTGAGCAGGTCTAACCTTCCTGTAGGGCTTTCAACAGAGATACAACCAACCAGGCTGCAAATACACCTAAGCTCAGTGCTCTCCAGCTCTCCTTTCTGCCTCTTACCTTTCTAGTGTGTGCTGCTGCTGCTGTTGCTGCTGCTGCTGCTGCTTCTGGGAACACAGGGGGTTGAGAGAAGTGAGTTCTAGTATGACAAAGGGCAGAGAAGGACCAGTGTATTTTTTGGTATGGTTCCCTGAGGAAACCAGGGACATGGGGCCTAGCCTGGGAGCCATGAGCCTGGTTTCCACATGTGAATGGAGGTGACATCTGCCCTGTCTGTGGTGCAGGACTCTTGTGAGGATCCGTGTGTGTGTGTGTGTGTGTGTGTGTACTCCCAGTGAGCATGTGTTGGCATAGCAAATTTAGGTGTGTGTGTGTGTGTGTGTGTGTGTGTGTGTGTGTGTGTGTGTACGTACTCCCAGTGAGCAAGTGTTGGCATAGCAAATTTAGGTGTCTGCCAGATGTCAGAAGACCTAACTGGGGGTAGCCTGTTTTACCTGTGAGGTGCTATGGGCAGCCAATCACCTTGCCTCTCTGGACTAATGTATCTTAATTAACTATGAAATGAAGGTGTTTATCCTCCAGAAGTTACTTGTATGATTGAAAATCTTCCCCTAGGAGGTATGAACTGTCTGGCCCTCTCCATTGTCCTGTGATGGCCTGTAAAGTATTTTGTGGGCTGGCCTCTGCCCACTCTTATCTGTCACACCACTGCCCTCTGTCTTGGTGTTCCTGGCCCTCCCTGCTTGTGGCCTGTCTAACCACTTAACCTTAAGGTTGCCAGACCTCCAGCATCCTCCCAGACAGCTGCTGTCAGAGCTCCTCCCCCCCACCCCCAACCTGCCTGTTACTTTGCCCCACCCCTAGGCCCTGAGCTCCCCAAAGGCTGGGACTAGGAACTGTTTCCCTTGTTCACTGCTTTGTCCTTAGCTCTTAACCCAGTGCCTGGCTGAGTGTGGGTGGATGTTTGTCTGTCACTGAGCACTGACTGGGTCAGGGTCAGAGGATGGGTTACAGTCAGAGGACAGGTAAAGCTGGGACCCAAGACTCTTGGCCCTGCTGAGATACCCCTTATGTTCTCTCTGTGTAGAGGAGCAGGAGCGGCTTCGCTTGGAGCGAGAGCGGGAGCAGGAACAGAAGAAGGCCAGCAGCCTGGCCAGGCTGGCCCATGCCCTGCCCTTGGAGGAGCCCCGCATCGAGGCACCACCCCTGCCTCTATCCCCCCCTGCACCCCCACCGGCACCTCCACCACCGCTTGCCACTCCCACCCCATTGACTGTCATTCCTATTCCAGTAGTGACCAATTCCCCCCAGCCACTACCCCCGCCCCCCTCACTGCCCCCTGCAGCCCAGCCTCTGCCCCTGGCACCTCGCCAGCCTGCTTTGGTTAGCACCCCTGGACTTAGCATTAAAGAATCTGCGCCCCTACCCACCAGGCCACAGGTGCCTACCCCTGCTCCCCTGCTGCCGGACTCCAAGACCAGCCTTCCACCCACTGGCAGCCCCAAGCCTTTGCAGCCCCTCTCCACACCCATCCTGACCATAGCACCACATCCTGGGGTCCAGCCCCAGCTGGCCCCCCAGCAGCCACCCCCACCTACTCTTGGGACCCTGAAGTTGGCACCGGCTGAAGAAGTCAAATCCAGCGAACAGAAGAAGAGGCCTGGGGGGTGAGTGAGATGTCGAAGAGTCCAGGCTTGAGGGATGGAGACAAGAACTGTTCAGCCCTGGACTGTGTGTGCAAGACAAGGGCCCTCTCAGGCTAGCCCTCAGAGCCCTTCCTACCTCCCCCTCCTATGTTTGACACATTCTCACTGTGCCCATTCCCACCCTGAGGAAGTGAGGAATTGTTCCCAGGCTTCTGTCTTCTCTGACGCCCCACCTTCAAATTTGGGGCTATTGGCATTTCCAGGCCTTTGGACAGAGTATTGAATTATAGCCCTCAAGGGGTGAGGGCTGAGGTCAAATGGCTGGTTTTCAAATTCCCAGAGCCCTTCTGTCTTTTCACAGGTGGCCTGATGGGATGGAGGGTTAAAGGGGTGATTATGGGCACACGTGCCCCTCCAGGGAGTGTGTACGCGCTGTGACACAAGGCAAACATACCCATGGCTTCTATAATAGAGAAGGGGACAAAAAGCCAGTGGCATTTGGGGTGGGGGGTAGGAAGGCCGCTTAATCTGGCCCTCCTCCCTGAGCCTCCTGTCTGTCTGGGTTTCAGGATCGGAACCAGAGAAGTCCACAACAAATTGGAGAAGAACAGGTGTGTGTGTGTGCGCGCGCGCATGCGCGAGTGTTTGGGACTCTGGTTCCGCCCTTGGCCCCCAAGCTCACGCCCTTGGCCCGCAAGCTTACCCCGGACCTTCCCTCCTCTCGCCCATCCCCTGCCCTGGCCACCCCACCCCACCCCTCCCCCGCGCTGGCTGACCAGCGCTGCTCCCTCTCCCCAGGCGGGCCCATCTGAAGGAATGCTTTGAGACTCTGAAACGCAACATCCCCAACGTGGACGACAAGAAGACGTCAAATTTGAGCGTGCTGCGGACCGCGCTGCGGTACATCCAGGTATGGGGGAGGGA